TTTTTTTTTTTTTTTCCTCTCTTCAGGTTGCTTAATCTTTTATCCACTTCCCTCTATTAATAATCATCTCAACCATGCAATCAGCCTCCTGAAGTAAGTTTCTTTCTCTTTCACTTCACAAATAAACATCTTTGATAGATGAAAACACCACAGGAAAGCCACCTAAGCAAACAGCCCTTCAAGTTAACTTCCTTTAACAGTGATTTCCCTTCATCACTAATTCCAAACAAAACAATTACAAACTACGATCAAAACTGTTAGAAAGTAAAAATGGGAGATACTGGTTAACATGAACACACCCCCCAAATATCTGTCTAGTATGCTTAATCATGTCCTCACTTATATTTAAAAGGTTGATGCACATGTCTTTAATTGTGCTGGGGATTTGCTCTAGATTAGGAAATGTGTCAATTATTTCAGGGGCACTAAGGATTTTACAGGTCTGAATTAACTCAGATCAGTTATTATTGTCCTCAGTATTTCCTGATAAATGAAAAAAACAGGGAATTAGCCACTTAATGTAATCTACAAATAGTACAGTAGAATCTCTGTAAGTTGACCACCCAAAGGACTGTAACAAACTAGTCAGCATACAGAGGTGGTCAATATAAGGAACCAGACCGACTGTACTGATACGTACATGTGGTGCATATACAGTCTATGAAAATCAGGTCAGCTTGACGAAGTGGTCTATGTAGGGAGGTGGTCAACTATGGAGGCTCTACTATAAATGTGGACCGCCAAACTTCAAAATTCTTGAAACTTGGACAAACTCTAGACAATTACTATTTATGTTTTACCATAATAAAAAGACTTTTCTCAATCTTGTCTGCCATAATAAAATACAAATACTAGCTGAAAAGAGGATAAGGAGAAACATTTAAATATTGGTAGAACATTTAATGTTAGTGTTTTCACACATAAAACTCCTTAAATGGGACTTTGTTTCAGAAGACAAAACCAAGACAACATGGTAGAAGTTAAGGGTTGTAGACTTTGATTTAAAAAGTCTTAACTTTTCTATCAGTGAAAGCTATCAAGGGATCATTTATGAGGAGAGACTCCCTGGGTAGGAAACCATCTTTCCAGGGCTGTAAAATAGAATCCTTTCATGGTAAAAAGAGTCCTTCTAATTTTAAGGGTCTATGATTATTCTTATTATTATTACCTTTCCCATTCTGGAAAATCTTCAAGACTCTGTCTTGTAAATGTCACCAAGCCAGTAGGTTCTAAAAAAGCAATAAAAGAAAAACACAAAAAATAAGTTTCAATTTTGAAAAAATTATAAACACATTCAGCAAAAGAATGGGTCTAACAATGGCTATAATTAGGAAACACCAAGCCTAAAATTGGAATACAACAGAATATTGATTTAAAATAATACTATCCTTTCATTAGGAACTCTTTCTACAAAAAGACCACTAACCAAAACAGCATAACAGTAAGATCTGAGTGCTGGTTTTTAAACTAAATATACTTTTTTATTAAAAAGAATAATTAGTATAGCTTATGCAATAAAGACAAAACTGAATTCCAAATTGTAGACTTCTTTACAAAGAAAAGTCTTAACCCTACACTCAAAGACTGGTGAATAGATACATACCTAATTGCTCTATGGTAAAGTAGATGTTTAAGATTAGGAAAGGAAATCACTGGTGTGACCTTTGGAGTTGGCAAAGCTAAATCCTAGGCTTAGACGGTATGCACTCACTCTACGTATTAGTAGGCGGTTGGCTGAAGGAGGAATTACTGTATTCTAAGAGTTCAGAAAAGAAAGATGACACATTTTCCAAAGAGCAAGAGATTTGTGAGGATCAAAATGAAACACTATTAATGCAGTCAATAATTTTAAAGGATAAGATTCTTTTTTGTCTGATTTACTTTGTCGAAGCCAGTGGCAAAAGTAACAAATAAATCAGCTGGCCAGAAGTAATGTGTTTGATTCAAATCGAAGAACAAAATAAAAAGGCCATGCCATTTGTTTTCTTCTGCTAAAAAAAAAAAAAGTGAAAGAAAGGTCTTTTTTTTTTTTTTAAAAAAGAGATGTCAGGAATTATTAGTAATGATGGGGTAAAGCCCAATGAAAGCCTGACAATCATTTCATTCCTATAGACAATTCCGCATTTCTTTTCTCTCAGTCTCAAGCAGTAAAAACTCAAAAATTATCTGGAGCAGCTGTTGCCAAAAATAAAACTTTTTGTTAACGTGGGCCTTAAAACAGTCTTCAGATATCTAACTTTAAGACAAATAGACAGTATATTTAAAACTCACAAGAAGTCAAACAATTCAAATATTAGAGAAGCAACTCTATTAATAGGAAACTACTATCTATCTCATCGTTCAGTAACTGAGCAAAGAAGGAGGAACAGTAAATGTTCTTTATATATAAGCGAGATCAAGGGAAATTCACAAACATTGTTGTCAAAGTGGGAGAAAAGGCAGAAGGACATGTTTTTTTAGATGCAATTATTAATAAAAATGTCCTGAAAATATGTTTGATAGCTTTCTTCCATAAAAAGGCACCTCTCACCTTAGAACAGGGTACTCTGGTTAAACAAATACTTTCCATAATAAAATCATAATATATACTACACATGGATCATCAATTTTTAAATACTTGCTATGATACTTTATCTTTAATTATATCAAAAATAATTTAATTCAGAAGGTTCTTTAAAATCTTTTATTCTCAAAATCCTCACTACAAATTTAAAATATATATGTTTAACAATATTCAAAAGATGGTCCTAATGGAATAGTATTTTAGTTATTCTAAAAAGTATGTTTTTTTCACATATTAAATTTGTGAAACTGGAATACATCTTTTATAATGGAGGTATCTTGCCATGGGTTCTAGCATAAAGCTGAATTTTCCCAGAGAAGATGTGCACCTGTCTCTGCTGTCATCAGGGAGCACAACTGACCTGAGACCATCTGTGTTAAATCCTCTATTGTAAGACTTTGTGGACCATGCTGGTGGTTTAACTCCAGATGTGAAACTTAAAACCTGTGATTCAAACTCTCAAGAGATCCTCCCTACCCTCCTTGCTCTACCTAGTGTCAAGGTTAAGACTTGAGAGTTTCTTTATTGTTCCTTTTCTGCCTGGCCAAGTTAATTTGTCATTTATCTCTACAGTAAAGATAGAGACCTTTGGTGGAACAGCTTTTTGCAATAGGTCTGCTATTAAACTCTCTCTCCCCCTAGTTTTTTTTCCTTCTTATAAGTATATGATGTAATGGCATGTTTTGCCATCTATAATGTCTCAGATTTGATGAAATGTGGCCCTTAAAATAAGCTTTTGACGTCTCTAGTTAATAGACTCCAAGAGCTTCTATATGACTAATCATTAAACTGCAAACTTCGAATTCCCTTTAGTATCCTTAGCTGTTAGCTTTACTAGGGGTATCCAACCTGTAGCCTGAAGGCCTGCACACTGATTTCGTGAGAATATTTTTTGCTCATCTGTGGTGCTGTATATCAGGAAAGGGATGCACAGATTTTTTTTTTCTAATCAGCTTTTGTTAGTGTTTGTGTATTTACTGTGTGGCCTAAGACAACTCTTCTTCCACTGAGTGACAGAAGGAAAAAAAAAAAAAGGTTGGACATCCCTGCTTTATATCATGAAACCTTAGAACAATATTATACCATATTCTACAAAGAACTAAACTACCACACAAGTGAAAAAGCCAGAAAATAAAATGTCTAATTACAATTTATTTCTTCAATTTAATTCCCAATATTTTTGATAGCTTATACATTTCTGGTTGAAAAAACAAACCTTCAGCTTTTTTTCTGAAAGTATTTGAAATCCTAAAACTCAGAAAGGCAAGTTAGCTTTCAAAGAAGACATATATGACTTAAATCCCAAGACAAAAAAGGAAACTCTAAATTGCTTAGTAATAAGAGGTCTATTTAGATCTAGAATAGCCAAATAAAAAAGAAAGAAAAACAGTATTCAGTCATTAACAAATCATTATAAATTCTAATTAGATTTTATGTTTCATAGGCCTGAATGATCCTGCATTTTTTCTTTTTTACATTTCATTCAGTACAGGATACAACTAAAATTCCAAAGCTAAAGAGATAAATAATTCCCTATCAAAAAAGCATATAATTTTCTCCTTAAATACCAAAATCCCGATAATTGATTTATTTCCAAAAATTTAACAACGTCCAAAAGCAATATATTTAAGAGGTAAAATGCCAAATACATTGCAATGTAAGAAGACTAAAAGAAGAATATAAGAAAAATGACCTTAAAATGATTCAAAGACATGTTTTAAGACAATGTCACAAGCTGGATGACCAGAACTAAAAAAAATTCATTTCACTTGACCAGGCTGACCTACTTAGCATAAGAAAAAAAATTTTTTTTTTGAGATAGAGTCTTACTATGTCACTCTCAGTAGACAGCTGTAGTGTCACAGCTCACAGCAAACTCAAACACTTGGGTTTAAGTGATCCTCTTGCCTCATCAGCCTCCCAAGTAGCTGGGACTATAGGCGCCTGCCACCACACCTGGCTGTTTTTTGGTTGCAGTTGTTGTTGTTTAGCAGGCTCAGGCTGGGCTCAAACCCGCCAGCCTCAGTGTATGTGGCCAGAGCCCTACCCACTGAGCTACGGGTGACAAGCCAGCATAAGAAATTTTTGAGGTATCTGGGTTTCCTCACAATCAACGGGTAGGAAAGGCTACTGATAATAGCTAACATTTATCACACATATATCTTTTTTCTTTTTTTTTGAGATAGCACCTTAAGCTGTTGCTCTGGATAGAGTGCCATGGCATCACAGCTCACAGCAACCTCCAACTCCTAGGCTTAAGTGATTCTCTTGCCTTAGCCTCCCAAGTAGCTGGGACTACAGGAACCCACCACAACACCCAGCTATTTTTTGGGTGTAGTTGTCATTGTTGTTTGGCAGGCCCGGGCTGGATTTGAACCCGCCAGCTCTGGTATATGTGGCTGGTGCCTTAGCTGCTTGAGCTACAAACACTGAGCCTATTACACATATATCTTATTTAACATCTGTAACTACCCTAGGAGGTAATTATTATTATTTTATTTCACAGATTATAAAACTGAAGCTTAGAGGAGTTAAGAAACCTGACCACAGTCATTCAGCTCCTTAGATACCAAGCAATCTGTTATCGGCTAGTCATCACCAGACATTTACTACTTCTGCCTCAGGTGCTGCTACTAGGTCTGGGAAAGCAAGATGGTTAAGGTCCAACAGAGGAAAACAGACAGGTAAACACTCAGTACAACACAGTTTCATAAGAACTCTACACAGGGCTCAGGGAGCAGAATAGGAAAACAAGGCATTAGTTGACCTACATAAGTAAACTAGTTAATATTTCTTTAAGTAAAGAACATCCAAAATGCATTTCCTGGTCAATATTTTTTTTTTTTTTTTTTTGAGAAAGAGCCTCAAGCTGTCCCCCTGGGTAGAGTG